TTATAGCAAGAAGAGGCCCAAAAAGAATGAGATTAAGATTGAAAATAAAATCTGTAAGAAGAGAAATTACTAAATTTAACCTCAAAAGCATTTTTAGAAACTGCCACAAATGTCTATGCGTTCATCAGTATACGTGTAAAAGAGTGGATGAAAGAAATGCATTTAAATTTGTTTAGACCTGCTTACAGATCTCTTGTGGTACTTCGGTGAAAAATTAAAAATTGGTTTATGATGCAACTGAATGTAATAAACAGGCAAGTTCTGAGCTAGGCTATTGCTGCAGTTTGCTTCAGATCAGCTGGTGCAGAAGGGGACCTTTCATATTCACATGCTAAGGTTGTAGATGAATCAGCACATGCCCTTTTTGAAGAAGCATATTTGCATGCTTGACGTGAAATACTTGGTTTTTAGAATGTAACAGTTTTTATGGAATATTGATGCCTATATTCCAGCATTAGAACCAAAGAATGGGTTCTAGAATGGGCTACTTTTTTGAGACAGGAATACAGAAGTTTTTTTATAGTTCTCTTATGGGAGATCAACATTGACAGGCATAATAATGAGAGATCCTCATTCAGCACCTTTATAATGCTATATTGTTAACGGAGGAAATGTAGACCCAGAATGGAATGTACTGCTTCCTGATCCCTCTCCCTGGCCAGTGAATTTGTTTTCATGTAGTGTGATCATATGGACTGTAAGGGCATGAGAGGGGTTTTGTTAATGTCACACCACAGCAGAGCTCTATTGCTGCGGCTAATAAGTACTAATTTGGTCAGGGGATATATTTAGCCAACTATGAAGTGTGTTTGTATTGGACTGTGTAATTGGACACCTTTCATCGCCTTGTGACTAGACTCTTTGTACACTCTCTGTCAATGTTAAAATGTTCAGTTTAGTCTAACAGCAACAAGTAATGTACCCGTATTTCAGACCTATTACAGGAGATTGACAGTTATTAGTCCACGAGTAATTCACAACTTGTGTGGCCTTGTTGCCATTTAAAAGTACATTGCAGTGGTTATCTGTCTTTTGACTTTGAGACACGAGCTGCTGCAACTAAGTTACACAGAAATTTAATCTTTCAGTGAAGACTGTGAGACTTTCTGAAGAATTGAATGAATTGCAGCACAGCAAGTGAATTGTTTGTTGCATTTACTTCTCCTTGGGATACCATGTAGACTTAATGTATGACTTAGTTGATAATATTAAAGGTGTGTTCTTGATGATCGTTCCAACAATCTTATTACCAAAATTGAACAGAACTTGTATGGTTTGTAGATTGAGATATTTCCATGTAAAAATTTGACATATTTAATGACGTAACATTCATATCTACCCTGCTGAGTAGCTTATATGATAAGACATTATGCAAGTATGTGTCTCTGTTTACGTCGCTATTTTCTATATCCATCCAGATAGATTTCAATGCAATTCTGAGATTGTGCTTATCTGATAAAGAGATAACAATTGTTATTTTGACTATAATCATAACAATATCAGATGCAAAAATCCTGATATCTATTCCTTTCTGTCCTCATTTTCTGCTGTTTTTCCTTTCTCCCATATGTAGCACTGCTGGCTTATCATTTTAATTTTGTACACCCTCAATTTACAAAATAAACCTGCACTATCAGTGTAGTCCAAAGTTTTTATTGTTGATAATATGATATGATTATTCTTGTAATATATGTTGCCAATGATGGTGAGTATTCTCCGCTTGATTTTATCTAGGTAGCGTGATTTTTTTCTTGGGATTTCTTTCTGCTGTTGAATCTAGGTGTGTTTTTTGCTTGTTTTTTGAACATGAAAAACTGATCTGAAATTTAAAGCTTCAAGCTATATTTTTTTTAAAATTTGGCATGATTGTCTCTGGCAACCTTACTGATAATGGAATGAACTGATCACCAAATACTGTACAATTCAACTATTTATGCTGAGTGAGCTACTCTGTGACATGAATGGATTTTAGGACAACGGTTGCAGTTCAGATTTCTAAATGATTGCAGTATTTTGATCCCTCACTTATGACGTAGTTTGGTGTTAGCATATTTGAGTGTGAAAACTTTAAGGTATTGACTGGCAAAGTGTTTTTTAACACACTAATTTGTTAATGAAATCTTATTTGACTTTCAAGGTGAAGGAAACCATGTTCATTCCCTGGGGTGTTCAGGAGGGATACGTAGGTCACAGTTAAGTCTAATCTGTGCTGCAAATGGTACAGGATACTGCTGATGATTCAGCTTTGGATAAGTGCTGGCTTAAGGTTTCCTCAGCTTCTGTTCGTTCTCTGTCTCTGTGTGCTTGCTTTTGAAGGAGGCTGCACCATTTTTCATTTGATTGTGCCAGTTTAGCAATCTGGTGAGATTCCCTCAAGACTTGGAGTAATCAAAACTCCCAAATGAAGCCTTCTCAGCTCAGAGATGTGCTTTCTGCTTATGTGCAAAAGGCTGTAACATACTCGCTTGTTAATGCAAATTCCTGTCTGGCTTGTAAAGGACTTGATGTTAATATTAATTGTCAGTTTGCAATCTGTAAGACTGCCCAGCCCTTCATGAATATATAAATTGCTTTGTACTATGCCACTTTCATGAATATCTGGGAGGCATGGTGGCTCTGTGGTCAGCACTGCTGCCTCACAGTGCCAGGGACACTGGTTCCATTCCACCCTTAGGCAACTACCTGTATGGAGTTTGCACATTCTGCCTGTGTCTGCATCGGTTTCCTCTGGGTGCTCTGGTTTCCTCCTACAGTCCAAAGATTTGCCCATAGCATCAGGGATGTGTAGATTAGGTGGGTTAGCCATGTGAATTGCAGGGGATAGGGTAGGGGGGTGGGTTTGGGTGGGATGCTCTGCGGAGAATCGATATGGACTCGATGGGCTGAATGGCCTGCTTCCACATTGTAGGGATTCCATAATTCTGTGATCTTTTGAGGTGACACTCTTTCCAGTGGAGGTCAGATTCACCAGCAGGTCAATAAAAGTGGCTCCAATGCCGTGAAACAACAATGGCTACCATTTCCACTTCATTGCTTTATTGCTGCCGTGGTAGTTATTTAAATGGTTTTCATACAGAAGTGTAGCATACTTCCCTTAATATGCATGGAAAATTCATTTGCGAATTCCACCTTTATTTCTAATCTAAAGATATAAAATACATCCTTTCCAAAATAATTTAAATTGCAGACAATCTTTAGTTCAATCTAACACCCACTAGCCTTCATTTATTAGCTTGTCTTTACTCAAATTCTCATGATTATTACATCCAGCCATTCTGAGGAGAAATCCAACCAACGGGCATAATTTTGGTGCAATGGCCTGAGCCCAGAGTTGGATTTAGCTTCACCTTTGATTCTCCCTTAAATATTGATGCAAAGCTGCAAATACATAATTGGCACATAATGCATAATTGTTGCAGCTCACTACTCAATGGAAATGATTGAACTTCTGTGATATTCCAACTGGAACATCACCCTTGCTGCACAAGCAGCAGCCCCTTCACCATCATCACTCAAGTCACCCCTTCCCCAAAAAAAAACAAAAATCACATTTCTGGGATTGCTATTTTGAACTTTATCTTGGAGGATTGTTGGTTGGGTCAGTTTGGGTTAACCAAAATTTTGTATTTGGAGCTTACGGGTGCAAAACGTCCCAATTTGTCCATTAAAGAATCCTAATTATTTTCTCGAGTGAATGCTATGGACAAAAGTGTTATCTGAGCAAGTATGTCATCTGATGCAATTCTGGCATTTTTCAGTGATGGCAGATTACCTGGCAGTATTCTATGGTCAGTTGCTGATCTTGTGCTTGAAAAGTGGACAGCCATGTTAACTTCTGCTTTCTTCTGTGAATTACGTGCCAATTCCAAGAAGCAGCAATATCATTTCCAGAGTACATTGTTTGAATGGAAACAAACTTAAACTCTGCTTTCTCTCAATCCTGTGTTTTTCAGGGTGGGACAAACATTCGTATGGCTATCATGGGGACGATGGACACTCCTTCTGTTCTTCAGGTACAGGACAGCCCTACGGTCCCACTTTCACTACTGGAGATGTCATTGGCTGCTGTGTTAACCTCATAAATAACACCTGTTTTTACACGAAGAATGGTCACAGTCTGGGTAAGCCATCACCTCCCATTTTCAAAGCTCTTGAATGAAATGTGATTAAGGGACTCACTCACCGAGGGGTAATTTGCATTTTAAACAAGCTGAAGACTAAATATCACTTTTTTTTTTAGCAAATCACGTTGTATTGTCTCTTTTTTATTCTCTTTTGCAGTAAATGTGTCCTTTTAAACTGTGTGAAAGCCACAGTTATTGTGATGATGCTATGGCTTTAACTTTTGTCCTGGTTGTTTTTATGAAGAAAGGTTGAGACAGAGATTCTGAGTGGTCTGCTCAAAGCCAATAAAGTAAACAGCTTGTGACACCCTGGGTTTTTTCTTAAAGTTGGAACAACAGAAGCAGCTGAGTTGGTAAGGTCAAGCTCCCACAGAATCAGGAGTTTTAGTTGTAGCTTTCAGCAGTTGCTAGGTCTTGAAGCTGGATGTGGAAGTTCTTATTTCTCTCTGTTACAGCTAAAAGCTGGGGTTCTCTTCCTGCTGCTAGAATTCTGTGAGACAATCTATTTTACTGAATTTGCCTTTGCCAAGTATTTATGGGATGTTACTTTATTAAAGTTAATGAGTATTAGTTCATATACATTGTTTTGTTAAGCATTTCAATAGAATTACAGTTAAGCCAATTCTTTATTTTTAATTTTGTCTGTATTTCAACTGTAGTGTAAAAATCAAGTATGTTTTGCTTAAAAGTCGAGTAGTTTGACCAATCGAATTGCATCTAGAACACAACGCCTTACACTTACCTTTAAAATAAGAAAAAGTTAGGGTCCATGCTATCTTCTTAATATATTTTGAGGGGCTTTAGTCTAGTCCATAACAAACCGGGGACTCCTTTCAGGATCAAAATTTCTAATTCCGGGTTGGGCTTAGGAATATTGGATTCAAAGTGGTGAGTGTTAGTGTTTTTTTTTTATTATTTTGGCTGTTGCATTCAGTTGGTTTAAATACAGTGTGCCTAGTGTGGTAATGGCTGTTTCAGTCACTGAAAGTTCCTGGGGGTGGAAGAAGTCACCTCGGGAACTTTACAGAAAGCGAGCAAGGCAAAACGTTTGGAATTGGCACACGAACTGGAGTTGGGGTTGCCTTTGTCTATGAGAAAAGGGAAGGTATTTGCAGCAAAAGCTCAATATTTACAATTGTTGAAAATGCCATCAGAATCATTGGAAATGGCTAAAATTCAATTGCAAATGAAGCAGCTTGTACGTGAAAATGAAATGAAACAGTTTGAATTACAACTGAAAGCAGAAGAAAAGCAGAAAGAGGGAATAGACCTAATTATGTTGGAACTGAAAACTCAAGTTGACTAACATGGTGGAGGTAGAGTTGAAAGGTAGGAGTAATGACAAGGACAGTGGTGGAGAGTAATCCCATTGAGGCCAAAGGGATCTGTTTAAATATCTTCAAACAAAGTTGGTAGGTAGAACTATTGAGGTATTTGCATCACTATCAGAGGAGGTATCTGCAGAATATGATCAGGTGAAAAAAGCCATCTTAAGTGCATATGAGCTAATACCAGAAGCCTACAGACAACTTTTTGGGAATCTAAGGAGGGAACCTGGTCAAACATACATTAAGTTTGAAAGGATCAAACAAGGTAACTTTGATAGGTGGATAAGGGCATTGAAAATAAATCAAACATATAATGCACTTAGATGACTACTTTGGAGGAGTTCAAAAATTCACTTCATGAAGTAGTAAGAACTAACGTGGAAGAGCAGAGAGTCAAGACTGCAAGATCCATGCTGTATGTCTGTATGGCTCTATGGCTGTATTAGCACTGGAAATGGTAGATGATTATGAGCTGGTACATAAATTAAAGTTTGGCTTCTGACATCAGTTTCAATATGTGAGGGATAAAAATTGGTGAAAGTGGAAAGGGAAAAGGAGTTCTCATTGAAAATAGCAAGGATAGTTTACCACAAGGTTCAAGGAGACCCATGAGGCAGGAAAAGGAAGTAAAAACCTCCAGGTGTTTTGCTGTACTAAAGCAGGCCATGTGAAGTTGCAGTGTTGTGGTTTAGAAAAGGCACTGGGAAAACGGATGTGGGAAAACAGGATAAGGCAGGTATTTGGAAAACTTCACACAGTGATAGAACCTGCACCCCTAGTACCCATTCCCACATTTTGAGGAAACTTTTACAGGAGTATTAATTGATTGCATAGGACTTCTACTTAAAATAAGAAGTGGGAATCAGTATTTGTTGATCATCAAGGATGTCTACTAGATTTCCAGAGGCCATTCCATTACACTGTATCACAGGTAAAAGGATTGTAGAAGAGGTACTCAAATTTTTTGATAGATGCAGACTACCCACAGAAATACAATCAGATCAAGGGTGCAACTTTAAATCAAAATTATTCAAGGAAGTAATGTATAGCTTACATTGAAAACATCGTTACATTGAATTTGAAGGTTCAGGCACCAGTTTCTCTGCTAATGAAAAATGAGTGGAAATAAAGGACAATAATTCAATTTAGGTGATAGAGAAATGTGATCTCTATTCAAACACATTTCTGTTTGCATCTCCACAAATTACCAAAGGTGCCTAGTTGTTTGATCTTAAAAAAATCTTGTCCAGGGCCTTAAAATGATCAGTGTTAAAGCTGCAAAAAAAATTATTTTGGAATTGCCTGATTTTTTTTGGCTCCCGTTTTAGATGGCAAATTGGTCTCTTAAACATTCTAAACTTTAACAGGCATAGAGGATGAATTTACAGAAAATGAAATGCATGGTGTAACATGTATGAAACAATAAACTGAAATTATATCTTAGTTTGCAGTTCAAAATTTGCATCATTTTAGGAGGAAAAGGATCAAATTTAGCTCCCACAGTGATTTAGTTTCCATGAACATGGCAATGGAGATTTCAGTCTATGTTATGTCCCCTGGACTTTGTTTGCTGCACGCTTATTGACAGGGTTGATTTACTTGATGCAGAAATAAGCTTTTCGATCCTCTGCATTGTAGCTAATTGGAACCTGAATATTTGAATATACGCACTCTATGCTCATGTGAAGAATTGTACTGCAATTTGAAGCTTTTATAAGTACAAGTGCAGACTGCTTACTATTCCAAAGCAAAGCTGGCACTTGTAGCTGCAACAGCATCTAAGTATATATAGCACATTTAATATAGTAAAATGTCACAAGTGCCTAAGATCAGTGGTATCAATAAAAACACTGAGCCACATGAGGACATGTTAGAAGACATGACTAAAATCCTGACCAAAGAGGGAAATTTTAAGGAACATCTTAAATACCCAAGGGCGAGATATTTCTGGAGCTTGATGCCACGACAGCCTGAAGCATTATCTCCAATGATGAAATATTTAAAAGCAGCGATGCATAAGAAGTTAGACTATGAGGAAAGCAGAGATCTAATGGCTAGTGTGGCTGGAGCAAGCTACAGAGATTTGAAGGGGTTAAGAACATTGAGGGATTGAAAATGAGGAGGGTTTTAAATTGGGCCTTTCAGATAGAGAGCCAGTGAAAGTCAGCAAGCTCAGAACTCTTGGATGTGCAAAACTTGGAGGGAATGAAGACATGGGATTGGAATCTGTATTTCAGAAACCTGGACCTATTGTGCGATACCTAATTTGATGTTTATTCTAGTATTTTACTGATTTTAATCACTGACATATGCCAGAAATCAACTAAGGAGTGCCCTGTCACATCCTCCCCCAAATTGCTCCTAACACAATTGGATTTACCCCTCTCAATCCACGCTCCCACATTCCCATTCATCCCAAACCTCACTCTCATCCCCTCCACTTATCTCCTTGCCCAGTGGTAACCACTTGTCCCACTACCCACCCATTCATCTTAACACCCACCGCTCCCTCATTAGAAACCTTGAGACCTCAAAATATTAACTGAGCATTCAAACTGGTCTTGTAAAAGTGAGACATGGCCATTCCGTTGCTCTTTTCCTCACTGCTCTCCATGGATGATTTCACCAAGGGATTGTTGCTGTTGAAACTGGAACAGGAAGATGCTGCTGCAAAGACAGGGACAAAAGGTAGTATTGTAGTTTTCTTCACAATATGTTGTGGTGAGAGATACGTGATGTGTTGGAGTTTGAAATTTAAAATATCAGCATATAGGTGGGACATTTTGTGAAGGAATTTTCCCTTGCATTTGGTATTAAAACTGTTTAGGAGACACCAAGAGGGCATTTCCCTAAGAAGGGAGAGATGACTGATGACAGTCATGAAAATTATTCTTTGAATATTGATTAAAAAGAATCAAACTCCTGGAGTTTCTGAATATTTTATCTTAAAGGAGAGGCATTTTCTTGCACTTTGCTAGCTTCTGATACTAATTGATTCCAGAGGGGCTAATGGAGTAGAAAACATTAACTGGACGTTACAAAGAAGTCCCGTTATACAGTGCTGGATTAAAGAGTGCTTTAGTAAATGGCAAGGTTATAGTTGGAAGAATAAAACAAATCTTTGTAGAAAAAAATTGATTTTATCTTGGGAAATGACATGGTTGGTTCAGAAGTGTTGCCTCATTAAGGATAACCGGTAGAGGTAAAACAATCTAAGATGGTACAGGAGGAGAGTCCTGGATTGTTTTCTGACTCCCTGTTCTGACTAGATCTCAAGGCTATAAAATTAGATTCGAAAAAGAATGTATGACAAAGGGGGATGACTGAAATTCAATTATCTGATAATTTTAAAAATATATATAGAACAAAAAGGTGCAGGTCAGGAGAACTAGGTTGACAGGTTTGGCTAATGTTCTTCATCAGAAATACAAGAAAAGGGATTCTCAATTATACCAAACAGCGTAGACATGTATTGAATCAGAATGCATAGCTGAGTGTTGTTACTTTAAAGACAAAGTACTACTGAGGAAACCAATTTTAAGTACCAGCTGGTGAGGAATGTGGTGATAATTCCATCTGAGTATCATAATGCATTTTACACATTCCCAAGTGCCCTGCCATTTGGATGTTGTGAGGTATTAGGAAAACGCAGGGTCAAATATTAAAACA